GGTATGTAGAAAAGCTACAACCCTGGCACACACCATTTTTTTTAAATGAAGAACCATGCCGTGTTCCCTTGCTCTGTTCAAACAACAGCTTCTTGGTCTAGGAACAGACTTCCTATGAGCATAATTAAGTGTTCTAGGATCCCTATTCTTCTCAATGCTAGCCATAATTTTGATACACAGGTTATTGTTATTATAACTATAAATACCTGAACTCCAAACCTACTAAATCAGTCTCTGGAACGTATAGTCTATATTTTAAAACTGTTTTAGATTAACATACTATTTCTTGATCAGGTGCTGATTGTGTGAAATCCTTATTGTATAAAATTGGTAGAAATATGCCCTTAGAATATGTACTTTTCTGTATGTAAATTATTTCACTGTATGCCAGGGATGCATCCTGTCTCCATACCTTTTCAAACTATATGCAGAAAAGATTATCCGGGAGGCTGGGCTCTATGAGGAGAAATGTGGGGTCAAGATTGGTGGACGATTTATTGATAATCTGCGTTATGCAGATGACACAACCCTGCTTGCTGAAACTGAGGAGGACCTGAGCACCTGCTGCAGAGTGTCAAGGACTGCAGCCTACAATATGGATTGAGGCTCAATGTCAAGAAGACAAAGATTTTCACCACTGGACCAATTGGCAGCATCAGGATGGATGGTGAAGAGATTGAGATTGTACACAGCTTTAGTTTGCTTGGCTCCATAGTCAACAGTCTTGGCACCAGCAGCCAGGAAATTAAAAGGCACATCGCCATGGGAAAGTCTGCTGTTAGGGACCTCTCCAAAGTGCTGAAGAGCAGTGGTGTCTCTCTGGAGACTAAGGTGCGTCTGATACAGGCCATGGTCTTTGCAATCACTTGTTATGCATCAGAGAGTTGGACAATGACCAAGGAGGATAGAAGGAGAATTGATGCCTTTGAGCTGTGGTGCTGGAGAAGAGTATTGAGAATACCATGGACTGCTAGGAAAACAAACAGATTTGTCCTGGAGAGGGTTAAACCGGGTGGCTCCTTGGAGGCAAGGATTCTGAGGCTCCGTCTAACTTACTTTGGACATGTTGTGAGGACAGACCGGTCCTTAGAGAGGGACATCATGCTTGGGAGGTTGGAGGGACGGCGCAGGAGAGGAAGGCCCTCTATGAGGTAGATTGATTCAGTGACTGGGATAATTGGGATGGGAGTGTCAGAGACAGTGCGACTGGCACAGGACAGAGCGGAGTTTAGGGCTGTTGTACATAGGGTCGCTATGAGTCGCAAGCGACTCGACCACACATAACAACAACAACAACAAAGTTAAAAGACTGCTAGGTTATTCTTAACCTGTAAATTATACCTGAAACTCACTGGCCTAATGTGTCCACTGGATTGTTAATCCCATGAAGACAGTGAAACCATCTATTTTTGTCTTATTTTAATGTCTACAACAGATCATTGTTGTTAGATGGTGTTGAGTCTGTTCCAACTCATAGGAATTGTACACACAGTGGAATGAAACCCTTCTCCATCCTGGGCCAACCTTCCAGTCACTGGGTGTGTGTGTGTGTGTGTGTGTGTGTCTACTGCTATAGTCACTCTGTTAGTCCATTCTATTGATGTCCTCCTCCTTTTTTTGACCCTGTGCTTCGTGAAGCATGATGTCTTTCTCTACTAAACCCAGAGCCCGCAGTAACCATCCACCGAGTTCCTGAGGCTGTAAATGTTTGTAGTAGCAGACAGCCCATCTTCTGAGGAGCAACAGGTGGACTTAAGTGGCTGACCTTGCAGTTAGTAGCCCAGCACATAATACACTACACCTCCAGGCCTCTGTTCTTCAGGAACTGGTGCTGTTCGGTTCTGCCGTGTCAGCTCTCAGCAGCCCTGTGAGCAGCCCTATCCTGTGCCATCCACACACTCTCCATCCCGCTCAAGCCCATTGTTGCCGTCACTGGTTATTCTACCTCACTGAGGACCTTTCTCTCTTTCACTGACCCTCTGCTTTTCCCAGAGCGTGGTCTTTTTCTAAGGATTAGCCCTTCCTGACAGTGCTCCCAAACAGTGTCACCATCCTCGCCTCCAAGGAGCAGTGTAATTGCACGTCCTGCCAGGCAGATGTGTTGATACTTTTGGCAGACCATGGCATATTTACTACTCTTCACCAATACCACAATCCAAAGGCTTTAATTATCCTTGGTCTTCCTTAGCTTATTGTCCAACTGTCACATATATGAAGCAATTGAAATAAAATTCAAACTCATTTTTGTCGAGTCAGAACCCACTCACACAGCTGACCCTCCAGTGGGTTTTCAGAGGCTGTGAATCCTGGGGGAGGGGACTGCCAGTTTCCTAATTGCCTGTTCAAAGTATATCAGATAGAGTCTCACCATCCACACTTTTAAGGAGCATGCTGACTGTATTTCCAAGACAGATTTGTTCATTCTTTGCCTCCACCATAGTACACACATAATAAACTATCATTAAATAAATCAGTCAACAGACAAAAGGAGACATGGGCTTGTGAATTTTGTCCTCCCTCATTCTCTCCTGAGTCTTTATACCGTGTTCCCGCCAAAGCACATGATAGTCATGACTCATAGTTACACCTCCCGCACACCCCCCTGAGTGAACCTGTGACAGGGCCTCTGGCTTCCTCCCCACCATGCACAGGGTGTAACTGACCCAGCGTGCCAGCCCAGCAAGGGGAGAAGAAAGCAGGTGGAGGACATGCTGTCCTCAGCACCAGCAACTTTTGTCCCGCCTGGGTCTGCGCCACCTGGCCCAGGGCTTCTCACTGTCCCTGGGAATGAGGCTGCACAGAATACATCTCTGGAGATACAGCAATGCCAAACTTTTATTTGCATCTCCAATGCACTTTTTAGCACATTTCATGAGTGGGATCCTGGTGAAATACTACATAAGTTATTCAGTTATAAATAATTACCAGAAGCATCCTAGGGCTACCATAATAAACCAAAGAAGATGCATAGGTTGCTTTAGTGCATGCAGTCCAGTGGGGGAGACAGGCCATCAATTAATGTCGAACTTTTTTTAGAGTACTAGCGTATGCTAAAGATCCCCGACTGCATGGTACTTAAACATACAGTTACATACATTTGGGGCCGCTAACTGAAAGGCTGGCCGTTGGAGAAAGATGAGCAGTGTCCCCTCATTTTGATTCCAGCCATAGAAACCCAATAGAGGGTCACAATAAGTCAGAATTGACTCAGGAGCCTTGGTTTTGGTTTGGTAGCATGTGCTGGTCAGTGGATTTTGCAAATGTTACTTTATAAAGTTATGTCAGTGGGTTACATCATTATAACAAGGGATGCCCTATCGTAAATCCTATTTAACGAATGAGAAGACTGACATCTAGGACACATGAGATTGAAGGGAAACCTGAAGTATCATTGGAGTTTAGAGAAGAGTTCCAGGTGAAGAGAATTTTGGGCAACAGGACAGTCATGTGTGGAACTAAAAGGTAGTAGCCAGTGTTGGGGCAGAACAGGGAGGTGTGGTTCAGTTCACTCAGGGTTTTCCATGTTTTCAAAAAGCATGATCAGAAGAGGGAGTTAAGAGATTCAGAGCTCAGTCATAGCTTGGCTTTACATAACCTAAATTGTAATCCGCATCTCAGTTTCCTCACTTGAAAAATGGCTGGACGAGAACTTTCAGGTGGTTCCTGCAATTCTAAAACTCTGGTTCTATGTAAGGTTCTGCCATCTCAAAGAACATCACACTGAGTGTTATCACAGAGGTTCCAGCTCATAACTATCTTCTGTTAGGTTTCAGAGGCTATAAATCTTAATAGATTTCTCTTCTTTCCCCAGCAGAGCACCTGGTGAGTTTGAACCCCCAGAGCAGCAGAGAAATGAAAACTCAGTCAAATCCTGAATGCCTTGAGACCCAGTTCCTAGGAAGAGAACAATAAATATGGCTGTGAACATGGATGAAGGACAAAAAATATGGCCATGATCATGATTTAGTCTCTTTCTATAAAAGAAAAACCTCACAGACGGGGCCAGACTGGAGCTGGGGTTAATTCTTAGCTGCCAGCCAGTGGTGTCTAGCTCAGGAAACCCTGTGTGTGCAGGGCAGGATTGCTCCACAGTGTTCTCAAGGCTGTGACATTTGAAAGCAGACCACCAGGCCTATCTCCTGAGCACTGTCCTTGAAGCTTGAACAGCTAATAAGAATCTAATTAGGGACCACTTCTGAGCACTTACCAGTTACAGGTGAGAAGGGCCTCCACAAGTTGAATTTCACAAAAATTGTGGGGAAGCTCCTCACCAATCACATGTAATCAGCATATGGGGAGGCCCAATCCCACTTTTATGCTTATTTCCCCGTTCACAAGGTTTGTTAACTTGAGCAATGGCATTCCCTGGTTTTGCTCCCCACCTGAGCTGGATTTTTAACCCAGCTCCAAATCTCATTCTCATAATCCACCAGACCATGCCACGTTTTCTTTTTAAAGCATAGGCAACTCTTTCAAAAGAACATAACATTGTGTCTTGAAGTCTTTTCTGGGTGAGGAAAGTGCTTTTTATAGCTCGGGTTGCATCTGTTTACTTGGTCCCTTCCAGCACTGGTTAATCCTGCCTACAGCTGTGTCCTTCACTGTCCTTAAACTGTACTTCTACGTTTCCTTCCTACAAAAGACAACTCCACAAGACCTTATGAGGGGTGTGTGCCAGCAAATTATTTTCACTCCTCTCCCCCTCACTCCTCTGCCTACCTTTCTATAAATAATTCTTTCTCTGAGCAATTTGATCACGTCACACACACATACACACACACACAAGAAGGGGGAGGCAGCTTGAGTGACCTTGCTAAGGTATCTAGTCCTGGAGGACAAGATTAGCTAACCTGAAACTTTTGTAAATACTCATTTTGTTTGCCTACTGCATTGCTGCGGACGCTGCACGCTCCTCGCTGCCTTATGCGGTCCCCTGCAGTGTTCTCCACACAAAGCCCAACCAGTCCATCTCTTTGCAAACCTAGAGAACTTCAGTCCCCATGTTGAAACTCAGCGGTGGCGGTGGCGGTGGCGGGCAGAACTGGGCATGCTCAGTAGCAGACCCAGGTCTTGGAGGCGAGGATCCGCGTTTGAAGTCGCGCGACCAGGAGATTAGGGGGAGAGCGGCAGCCGGCGGGGCTCTAGTTAGGGGTGCTCGGGGATCCCGGGCTTCGAGCCCGCCCGAAGCGGGCAAGCTGGAGGCGGGCGCCCGGGGACCGGCGGGCGAGAGGCTGGGCGTGGAGGAGGAGGAGGGGGAGCCGGTGGGAGAAGGGGAGGAGCGCGCAGCTCGCCATCCCCCGGCGGCAGCACTGCGGCTGCTGAGTCGGAAGCCGCAGGGAGGATCCGGGGAAATAAGGACGCCCGAGAATGACCTCCAGAGAGGCCGCCTGAGCCGGGGCGCGTGCGCTCCCCCGCCAGCCCCCAGCATGGACGACGGCGGCGGGCAGCCGGAGCGCTCGGCCCCGCACGCCCCCGGGGCCTCCACCGACGCTGCCACCGTGAACGGGCTGCTGCACAACGGCTTCCACTCGCCGCCCATCCAGCCGCCGCGCCTCTGCAGCAGGAGCCCCGCGGGCGGCGGCGACGCGGCTCCCCCGCGCCTCCCGCTCCTGCCGGAGCTTCAGCCTCAGCCGCCGCCCCCTCAGCACGACTCCCCGGCCAAGAAATGCCGGCTGCGGAGGAGGATGGACTCGGGGAGGAAGAACAGGCCTCGTAAGTCCGGCCGAACGGGGAGCGCGGGCGCGTTGCGGCCAGGGAGCGGCGGGGGGCGAGCTTTGCCGCGTGCTCTGGTGTCCGCGGTGCAAGGCTGTGGGGAGGGCGCCTCGGGCCCTGTCTTTCCTGGAGCCTCAAGATCGATGCTTCAACCTGACCTTGCTCCCTCCCATCTATAAAATGGACTGATTGGAGATGGAGGCTGAGCTTGTCCTAGATCAAGGCTTTATAGAAAGCTAAATGCACTATTATCCTTTATTTGTAGCTTGGAATGTCAGTGCCTGTGTGTGAACATACATGATAGGGTCTGCAAGTGTGGCTACAGCCGAGCCTCATACCCTGAGCTCCCCTTTCGGTGGTGGCCTTTCTGGGATTGGCGCTTAGGCGACCAGCATGCCCTTTGAATTGCAGAGGAGCGGCCAGCCCATCGGGTCTATTGGTCGGCACAAAGTCCGGAGGCGTGGAGTTTGACAACCCCGAATCACAGCCTATTAAACGCTGTTTCTTAACAGCCAATGAGAGGGTTTGTTAAGGGAGACACACCCACTGATACCATGTGGGCCGGAACTATGTGGACCAATGAGGATTCGAGGTGTATCTCTGTAGGAGGGGATGTAAAGTTGAGGGTTTGTAATTGTAATGTACAGCGTAGAAAAACTGAGATGGTTATTTCACAATCTAAAGTGTGTTTCTATGTTAGTTTATAAAGAGTACGTTTTCAGCAGAACTCTCTGGAATATGAAGTTTTAGGTAGAGTTTCAAACCGATTTTGTTTTATGTTTGTTTTTTAATCTTTACCGAACCTCATTCACCTGGGTCTCATTCAACCTCTTTCTGGGTCTCTTTAATGAAGCTTATAAAAGGAAAAAAGCAAAGTAAGTAGAATGCGTGTTATACGTGATTGCATTCAAACATGCACCTTTTGTACGTAGATTGTTCTGTTTGGTAGGAAAATTGTTAGGTAGAGTTTTGACCTGTCTGAAAGGTCCATCTTTTCATTTGTCTTATCTGCGTGGTGTTAAACGTTTTGAATACTTTGAAAGCACTTTAACATGGTTGCAGCGGGATCATGGTGGCTATAAAACTTGTGTTTTGTAGGTCTAAAATGTTTAGTTTGACTGCTAAGGTTTTTTTTGTGGAACTTCACGTCACACAACAGATCTGTGATTTAAGTGAGACATCTAGCATCTGATTTGATTTTATTTTACTTTTCTTTTTCCTGTTTGTCAAAAAATTAGTTTATGGACTCGATTACTTATTTTACACTAAGCTGTTTTACTTCTTTGAAACCACATTTTAGATACTTCTCTGGTGTGTATTAACAGCACAGTTGCTTACAGTATAAATAGCCTATATAAAATACAATAGATTATGTTAAATTTTTGTTTGGCATTTCTAGCTTGAATTGTCTGACTTCAATTCTAGGGATAATACCTCTTGAAATAATTTTTGAAGAATATTAAAATACACTAACAGAATCTTCAAGGCAGAGGAAAGTTAGTCTAACATCATGCTTACAAATTCATTGGTATTATTGTTTTAAAATACACTATCCCTTTCTCTTTTTCTACTTTGCTATAAATTAAAAGTGGCTTATATTTCTTAACAAAAGTGAATTTCTTAGGTACTTGACAAATTAAATATTTGTGTGGATTACTATTGGAAGGGGTTTTTTGTGTTTTTTTAATCAATAGTTCATTGCCATTGAGTCTAAACCAGCTCATAGTTGCAGAGAGGCTGTAGGACTCAAACTACCTGCCTTTAGGTTGGCAGAACAACTCATTACCACTAAACCACCAGCTGGATACATCAGAAGAGGGGAGCTCTAGTGGTGTTGTCTTTACGGAATTGCACTGCTAACCCACCTGTGGCTCCTCTGAAGCAAGATGGACAGTCTCCTTCCATGCAATTTACAGCCTTAGAATCCCAGGAGAGGCTCTGCTGTAAATCATCTCTACCTGGACACATTAAACGATTAAGTGACTAACATCAGAGGTAGATTTTAATTATCCTGCGATGAATTCCGATGTGAACAGACATTTCTAAGATAAATTTTATGTTCCCACCTCATCTATTATTTTTACTATCAAGATGTCTTAATTGGAATTTAATGTCTGTGTACCTTGCCTGTTAACATTTACCCATTTTAAATGAAAACTATTGTTTAGTCATATGTCATTTAGTTACTTGAAGAGGAATCTACTCACAGTTAAATATCTCCCTAATTCCCAATGACTGTTAGATTTCACATGAGCCGTTATTAAGGTGAGAGTCTTGATGCTTTCAATGTGAAATTTAAAAGTATATGGTGATGGAGACAAATGTCTACTTACCTGCTGGCTCATCAGTGAGAGAATGACCTTCAGTGAGATGGTTTGACACTGCTTGCGACAGTGAGCTCAAACACAGCAACAGTAACTAGTGTGGCATAAGACTGGGCAGTGTTGTTCTGTTGTATAGAGGGTCACTGTGAGTCAGAACCAACTTAGGGACACCTTATAGCACTAGCACCAGTTTACAACATCAGGCTCTGGCCTCTTTTAAAAACCAGAGGTGGATTGGGACAGTCAGTGACATCACTTCCATCAGACTTGCACCTGGAATATATACGTAGGCAGGTGTATTCGTTATTTGGTAATATTTTTGGAAGAGTGCAGTACACGTTAACATAGGTCATGTGTGAAAATTAATGGATGGAATGAAAGAAAACTCTTTTTCCACTGCTACACAATTTAAAAAAATTGAAATCTGACCATGCAGAACAGAGTTATTACAACACGTCAGGTTTATGTGACGATTAAGTGAGATAATATATGTAAAACATTTAAATCCATGCTGGACACATAGCAGTTATTTCAGGGAGTGCCAACTGTCATCACCACCACCAGGACCAGATTACCCATTGAGATTGAGATTGAGTAATATCACACAGGTCCAATGTCCATTCTCACTAATCTGCAATACACAGTTTCTACCTGCTACCATAGCAAAGGGGTGGTGAATTCCATGGGAAATTGTTTACCACAGATTAGCAATAAACGCAAATCAAGCCTGTGCAGATCTTGTTCAGTGTAAACCAGTGCCTACCATGTTTGCTGTTTAATCTGCACATGATCACCACCATTAACGCCTATTAATCCACAGGACAAGTAGTTAAAGTGGCAGACCCAACCATAGACTTGCATAACAGAAAACTATTTAGAGCCAGGAGAAATCACTTTTAAGTAGTTTTCTTTGATTAACTAACTACAAATAATCCTAGTGTCACAGTTATGTTTTTTCTTCTCACCCCTGATTACTTGTGAAAATACTGTGTAGTACAAAAATGTAGGAAAAATTGCTCACAGAACATTATTCCAAGACATCTATTATTTAAAGTGGGCCTTTTAAAATTAATTATGATGCATTTTAAAATGTCATTTTAAAAACATTTTTAATGGTGATGTAATATCCCAACCGTTCCTTCCAGTATGTGTATATATTTATTTATATATGTATGTAATTTAGCCTCTCAGAGCTTTACGCGGTAGTCAGTCTCTGGACCAAAAACAGTGGTGCAACAAATTTTTGCATAACTCTTTCTACCAAATTAGCTGTTATTTTGACTTGTGATGAAATTGGTGAATGTCTGCTTTTGGAAGGAATATGTATAATGTATGGAAGTAGCCTTGAAATTCTGTACATCTTAGGCATCAGGGGCCTTCAGTGAACCAAAGCATTAATAGAGGAGGAAAAAAATGAAAATTCTTATCCAACTCACCAAACATTACATTGCAGAAAGGCAGATTTTTGAGCTGTCTGAAAGGCTCATGGCTGGCTGCTACCCTCCTCCCAACGAGGTAGCAGCAGGCAGGAATCATGGCTGGGCAGGGCTAGCAGTCTTCTGGGAGAGAAAGTCTTACTTTTAAAATCATCCAGATATACAACCAGTGAAAAATGGGCAAAAATTCATTGTGTACATGACATACTCTTGTAAGAAATTAAAGAAACTCTAATCTACTAGTTTTAGTAGCAATGATTACAAAAGTACACGTTTAAGAAGGGTTAAGGAAGGAAAATTAGTGATTAGATAATCTCGGACATGCTGGAGCCCATTGTGACAGTCAAGGTGTCTGTGTTGTTAAGAACCTTCCTCTCTTTCTCTGACCCTCCACCTTACCTAGCATGGTGTCTTTTTCCAAGGACTGCCCCGCTATCCCAAACATGCTCAGAGTGTATGAGACACATAGTAGGTCAGGTGAAAGGAAAGGCTACATCTTTAAAAAAAAAAACAACCAGCAACAAACACACATGAATAGCAATCACTCTGCATAATAAATAATAAATTTAAGAGAGGATAACTAAATAAATTGGCATAGTTAGCTTTGACATTTGGCCTTTTCACTGACCCTGATTCAGACTAATTTGAAAACCCAGAGTAAACAGATAAATTAAGATAGGTGGAATTTTGTTTGTATATGCACAGAGCATATGTATGGTATGTTTGGCTTTACATAATCAGTTCTCAGAAGGGAAGTGCCCCAAATTGGAAAACAGAAGACTGAAATGGAAAGGGTGGACATACATAGTGTGACTGCTTTTGGGGTCAGGGTCAAATTCTCAAGTTTCTAGGTGGTTATTTTTCATTTCTGAAAAGACATAAATTGTTCTGTTGTTTATCTCACCACAACACCAAATCAAATGAGATTTGCTTTTCATGCCCTATCTCTGAGTTGTTAGTTAAAAATTATACTGTGCACATTTAAACTAAGGGTTGAGAATTGGTAGCCCAAGTGTTAAGCAGTGTGTATCAGGATTCTATTACACATATGAACATCACTGCCTCGTGTTCAACATTACTAAAAAGCCTTTTTTTTTCTTTTTTTTTTTTGCATGGTAACTAAAGAGAGAAATGTTATTCGTTCATAGTATTTGTAATAGTTAACAAATGAGTAAACTTAAATTGGTTTTGGAGCAAGAACAGGGTGACAAAGGAGTGCTGGTTTTCATGGCAAAGGCTG